GACATGTATTTATCGTGACAAACGAAACTTCAGTACAATTGGAATATTCAGAATATCGCATTTTTGTCTTGCATTTGCCATGCTACGTTATGAAAAAATGACATAGCGATAAAATGTGTGTTTATCAACATCATTAGTGAATACATTTGACTTCTGTTTACGTTTGTGCTAGTTTGTTACATTGATCATAAGACGTTCACGTAACGTATTCATGACTACCATTATAGAAAATTATTCGTTATTGTAACGTTTCAATGAATATTTTTTAGGAAATGTCATATGGTTACAATTATATTAATAATAATAATAATAATAAAAACTCTTTATTGTGCATAAAAAAAAAACAAATAATTACAAAAAAGAAATAAAAAAAAATATACGAACAAAAGGCGGCCTTATCGCTCAAAGCGATCTCTTACAAACAACCAGGGAGATAAAAGTATTGGGTGAGGGAAAGGTAGGTGGCGCACTATAAAAAGAGACTTAAATATTATATTAATACTAAATACATATACATACAAATACTAATTAAAAACTAAATTAATACTAAATACATATACATACAAATACATACATAAATAAAATATGTACAAAAATACATGTATGACGAAACAAAACATTAAAGAAAGATTTTTAATTAGAGAGAAAGTGAGATTTGACTAGTTTTTTGAAAATGGAATGGGATTGAGCAGATCTAATAGAAAGTGGCAAGGAGTTCCAAAGACGAATAACCTGGACAGCAAAGGATTGAGAAAAGAAGTTAATAGACTGAGAGCGGTTACCAGACAAAGACGTCTCGTACAGCGTAGCTCTCGGTCTTGCGGATCATTATAAAACACGAAGGACTGCTTTAAATAATTAGGAGGCGAAGGATTGATGTGTATAGTATAAAGGAGGGACAGTATGTGTCAATTCCTGCGAAAACGGATTGGAAGCCACTTGAGTTTATTGCGAAACTGAGAATCATAATCATATTTGCGGAGACCAAATAGAAACCTTATACACATATTTTAAAGTCGCTCAAGTTTGTTTAGCTATTATTATTGATTAAATTTTTCAGGCTATGTTAAATGATAGTTATAACTTAATGCCTATTAAGTTATTATAAATAAACTTTATGTAATTAACAGCAATAGTACTATACCTGTATCAGATAGTGCGGAATGAGAAATATAGTCTTCTGCAATTAATCGTACAGGAAAAATCCAGGGTTAACGACGACAGGGTTGGTCCGTTGTTATATCCGAAGATCAGGCAGATGCCGTACTTCATGGTTGAAAAACTTCAGGCAGTGGTTTAGGATGAGTACCAGGTCCCTTTTCAGGACCGCCATGGACAAAATAAAGATCGCCATAATGATCGACTACGTCAGATAGGAGAACGCACCTAGAGAAGAGGAAGTACTGTACTGCTAATAAGAATATAAATTAAAAGAAATATCACGTAACATCTACCTCATGGCCTTTAATATTTTATACTCAATATTTTTTCTATTTGAGTATTTAATTGAATTAGTGCTAATTGGTGGTTTGTATTCACACACTTAAACTTAAAAATGTAAAGTAATAATAAAATTATTTAAAAGAGCAACACGCAAGTTTCTTGCTCGTTCTTCTTGTGATGAGACAGCTTTCCGAACGAGCGGTAGATTAAAAAATGTAATGACTATTCAAAAGTGCTTCAATGTAAGTTTATTTGAATAAATGATTTAAAGGTTGCGATAAATTTATTAATGTCTGATCACGTTTAAAGGGTTCAATTTATTTTGCCACAATAGCAGGTGGGCAGCTCTGCGGCCAGCAGATCCTACGCGTAACTGAGATTACAAATGTAAGCATATTTATTTTATTTAATATATTTGTTGACACTTTGTGGGTGTCGAGAGCCATCACTCATTGTAAGTCATACTTTCAACAACGCCCATTTACAAATTTAATTTATAGTACTAAGTATTACGTGGAGAGGGGGAGAGAGGGATTATGAGTATTGAGAACTAGTGATCTTTTGCTAGTAATGTATCCTCTTAGCTCGACCTCCATGCGATCTCACCTGGTTTATTATTGTGATTAATTACTGGTGAATTCGCCACAATGGATAGACTGATCTGACTTCATCCTCGTCATATCATCCTCCACTGGTGCCCCACTACGATAAACAGGACAGGCGTGTGTACCATACCATTATCATCCATAAAAGAATAACTACGTATTACTTAAATATCTAAATGATCTTCAGTATGTAATATTATTCTAATTTCACGATGATCGGGAAAGCTTCATCTAAATGAAGAATGGACAGGTTCGTAATTATTACGGTCGAATTAAATTACCTACCAATAAAGGTACAAATGGTCCTATCTACGACACGTCTATATAAATTATTCACGAAGTTGGGTGTCTAGGCGGCATTTAATCGAATTTGTAATCAGGACAGACAAAAGTTAGCAGATCATCGCGACGAAGAGGAAACATTTGATGTGACGGAGACATTAATTGCACCTTTCAAACGGACGACCTGGTACATTTTTTTTAGTTTATCTTTACATTGTGACTTTGTTACAGCTTTATATTAAGATTAAAAACATCAACATATCGTATAACGAAATACGTTTTAGTATTAGATTAAAATTATTACTTTTTGAAATTTTCATAAATATTTGTAATACAACATATTATGAGAGACGCATATTAAAATTATAATATATAATATATTTATCGACTTATGCCACCCTTTGCAATATAGGCGGCTTCTACGCTGGATACACAGTTGATTTTTTTCGAACGATTCTAATGCTTTTGGCGCAGCTGGACTTTATAGATTCACCGAACGATAGGGGACGAGTGCAGTTGCCACTCCAAACCTGCGCAAAGACTAATAGAGCGGCTGAAGTCGATACCAAGCCTTAAATTGTATTGTAGTAGTGTGTTTTCTGTATTAGTAATCCTTAAATTGTCAATTTGAATTAATTCAATTTATTAACGTTCTTGTAAGTAAGTATATTGGCATGGAAATAAATTGAATTTAAATATTTTCAATTCAAAAGTTTTCTCTTACTAATATAATTTTTCTTAATGTTCACAATATATAGAGTAAAATAAATACAAGAAATTCCTTAACATTAGATAAATATGACACTGTAGTATAATGGGACAAATAAAACAAAACATTCACAATCTGGCGTTATTCCTCCTATGTACAAACTCTGTGATGTGAAGCGGTTTTACAGTGCAAAATGTCATGGCAATCTCAGTAATACAACAAGCACCGTGTCGACATATATCTTCCTTTTATGTTATACAATGGTTTCCTTGTATGTATATAAAAGGAGCCCCTGCTGAATCAACCGCCGGGATTTTTCCACAAAAAGATTGTTTCACTGGAATGACTTACCGAAAACTCTTTAATACCTCTTATTTTCCTACAATATAACGTTTTTTATGATCTTTAACTATTTCATCTATAGTCATTATGGAAATCCAGAATTAAAAATATAGATTTATTTAGCATAGCTTCGGTTTAAATTACCTAAAGTGTGATTTAACTATAGATTACCGATATGTAAACACATAAGTAATGCAGAGAAAAATATATAGCAGTAAGTTTCTACTAATTTGATTTTTTTAAAGACTTCTTATACCCATAATTTCACATAATTTAATTTTAAGTTATATTTCTGTCATGATATTATTATATATTTCTTTTGTCTCTAGCAACATCCTCAAAAATGTCGTAAAAATAATAATGGTATTTTTATAAACAATAACCATTTTTCTATTTTTTTCTAATTTTTTTACTAAAAAAAAACTACAAAATAAACCGTTATAAGCGCAAAATTATTAAATTTACTTAAATTATCAAAAATCTTTTTATCGATGCTTTCGACTTTCATTAAACTCATACATGTTACACCCAAAGTGAAACTGATGTTACACAGCTTATCGACAAATTGACCATTCTAATATAACAGTATATACTGTTATATTCAATCAAATGTAATGTGAGAAATTTTAAAAGTCAAGGATTAAGCCATAAAAATATTTTATCCTAATCTGATATAATCGGGATTGTTCTTAATCCTTCAAATAAACCAAACTGCCACGAAAATGGTTCAACCAATTGGGAATTAAATTGCCACGTATAGGCACCTAAAAAGGCTTTAAATTGTAGCAGCTCTCGTTGTGCATCGGGGATTAAAAAGATGTAACGACAGAGCGGTTGATATTTGGTTTAATTTTATGTACATAAAGCTAGCGTAAAGATAGATAGTGTTTAAAGTTTGATTTAGAATAGTGTATTCAGGTTATTTTAGAAGATATTATTATATATTTCTTTTGTCTCTAGCAACATCCTCAAAAATGTCCGTTAATGCTTTCGACTTTCATTAAACTCATACATGTTACACCCAAAGTGAAACTGATGTTACACAGCTTATCGACAAATTGACCATTCTAATATAACAGTTCGCCTATTGTTCTTAATCCTTCAAATAAACCAAACTGCCACGAAAATGGTTCAACCAATTGGGAATTAAATTGCCACGTATAGGCACCTAAAAAGGCTTTAAATTGTAGCAGCTCTCGTTGTGCATCGGGGATTAAAAAGATGTCGTAAAGATAGATAGTGTTGAAAGTTTGATTTAGAATAGTGTATTCAGGTTATTTTAGAAGGTTCGCCTACGTCCTTATTTGGCAGCAAGACCGTAACTATAAGCGTACTTTACCCTCGTCAAAAATGCTTATTTGGTCCCTAAATTTCTGAAAATTCAAGTAAACATTTGATGGAATTATATATTATCGATAAGAACTTAAATCGAGCACTTATTAGTTTTAATTGGTGTGTGTACTCCGCAATAATTAATTTTTAAATGCATGACTTACAAACGAGGGTTCTGTCTAAACTACTTTCACAATGTCGATGGATTTAATTTTACAAGCCCGTCTAAAATGAAATAATAGAAATAGGAAATCTTCTGAACAAATGTAATTATATTCTAAACTTACCTCATTCGGTCCAACTGTTGACCGCTTGAGAAGTTTTTGCCTTTTTCTCTCTGTCGTCGTTAACTTTGATATTAAACATGTGCTTAATATTGACAGAGCTATGCTCGGAACAAGTTTAAGTATTACACTGTAGATCCACATTATTGCTGTGACCAATTCTACATTTTTAGACATTTCTAACACATACACGGTCCGATTATGAGGCAGCGAGAGATCTTCGGCGAATTCTGAATTGTTCTGGGGTGTAACTTCACTGGGAACTATATTCATTGCGAAATAAATAGGAAGACACAAAAACGGACACATAATATAAGCACTCACTATGGCTATAGTTGTATTTCTTTTACTACACCAAGTTCGGTTCTTTTGTGGAAAGGCTATAGCAATATATCGCCACACTGCTAGAGTAACGGCCAACCAAATTGATATAGTATGGAAGGTTTGACTGAATATGGAATGGAAATAAACGAAAACAGTCCACGCGTACGTATTCTTGTTAACTTGAGGTCCAATTTTGATGTTCATGTGAAGGGCGTAGGGTATATATTCGAGCATAACTAGAAGATCGGCGACGGCGAGTCCTGTGAGGATGGAGTTTGTGGGGCTCGTCATCTCTCTTCGGCTGAGTACAGCAATATTGATGGAATTCGTAGCGGAGCCGACAATGCAGATGACCAGAGCGATGTAGCCGTGAAGTCGACTGTACGCCTTGTTGAAATCGGTGGCGCCGGGCACGCAGTACGCGTCGGTCGCGTTCGCCATGCTCGTCGTCCACTCTCGCTTCAATTGATGTTGTCATCGGCGCTGGAACGACACTACTCTCACGTCCAATTCATACTGCGGTGCCCGGTACGTCATCACTCAATCCTGCAACAACACAATTTCTATCATTATTAAAAAGCTTAGAGTTTATAGCTTAGAGTTTTAGCGTTACATAATTTTTATGTTAAATTTGATTAATGTAAATAACAATTTGTGCAAAGTAAACTGTTGACAAATTCTCCAGGGAGGGAAAATATAAACAAAAAAGATTTCAATAAAAAAACATGAATTATATTTATATGATCATCTATAAATGTAATCTAAACTCGTTTGGTGATTAATGTAAGTGAATAGAATTTATGATATAGGTGAGCGATAACAAGAAATAGTTGATAAATGACGATGTTTATTTAATTAACATATGGGATGTAGGACGTAGTAATTAAGATCTGGAAGATATGTGAGGTTTAGGGTGTGTTGAGTAAGTAGGTTGTTTGAGAGTAGGAATAAGGAAGTTGGAAGAGGATTACGTATACATATGTATGGGATGTATTACTGTATAATATGCAATTATTAATTACTACAAGATAATTACAAATTTACCATGCTATCTGAATCTTAAAGAAAAAGAAAGATTTATCAACTCAAGTATACTTATCTTAAATAATATTATGCCACATACCTAATACTTTTTATATGTTTTGGTCGACATGTAACTCTCTTAAAGGCAATGTTACAGTATTTTTGTTCATGACTAACATAAATATGCTAACAGTATACCTACGTTCAAGTTGCCAGTGGAAAATGACAAACCGAAGACGAAGTTAGGTTAATCAGCTCACCAAAACGCATAGCTATTGCACAAATATGTAAGTTCAGCTTTGGTTAAGCCCAAATTTGTCATAAAATTAGAGTTTCGTAACAGTTTCAGTTTTGACAAGCAAATTGCCCTGATTAGATATTCTACTAATAATATTTAATTTCATTATATGGTCTATATGATAATATGTTGTGTTTGTGACCTAAATATCTTACACTTCCTATTTTATTTTATTTAGAAAAGTGTTTACTACTGTTTCGTTGGTTTTGCAGAAATTTTGTGAGCTTTGTACCAAATATATATTTACATAGTATAAAACAAAGTCGCCGTCGTTGTCTGTTTGCTTATATCTTTTAAATTACTCAACGGTTTCAGCATAGATGGCGTGATTCAAGAGGAAGCTTTATATGTATAATACATGCGTGTTATAATATAGAACAAGTCAATAAATTTAAATATATGTAATGCAAACTAAAGAATTGGCTGTCACTTGGTAATTTTTACAATGTCCAAGAATATTTAAGTAAAACAAACACCTTCACGTAATTTGCATGCCTATATGGTAAATACTGCTGTTCAATCAATTTCATGTAACATCATTATTAATTATAATACTGTACCAATATTTCGCAAATAAATTATTTCATTTCATTTCTTTTGCATCCTTGCGAAGCTGGAACAGGTTTCTAGTAATTTTCATTCCATTTATTTACACTGCGGTTCCACCTTCACAAACAGGTCATTCAAAGCTCAAAATGGCATGATCTCAATTTGGATTCCATATTAACCAAAAATAAGTTATTTGATATTCAAATAGAATAGAATAGAAAATCCTTTATTCATATGAGTATAATTATTATATATAACGAATAAACTGTAAATGTATTATAATATGTAACATTATATTGTACTGTTAATAAATAAATATTTTTATGTGAATTTATATAGATAGTCGAAGTTTAGTGTTCTTGTTTTACTTGCAATAAAGAAAAATATTATAGGCGTACAGTTAACAATATCGATAATATAAATCAAATGTACAGATGCTTTCAAGATTTAACTATTCAGCGTACTTTGAAAATAAACAAAGTGCTGGCAAGCATATTTTTCCAGCTACAAGGTTGTTCAGCTGAGTATCTATTGTATGTACAAGATTGATTGATATACACAAACCGTGGGACAGTCATACTGTGCGTCATACTTGTGTACCAAATACCAATACATGAAGCTATATGAAGCTATGCAGATGCGATACATATGTTACGCATATAATTTTGTGAAACATGAATGATTTTGAAGTTTATAGACAATTATTATTAAAGAAAAACAATATTAATCTATTCTCAATTTGACCACGGACTAAAAATAAACAAAAAAGGTAGATATATAATGTATGTATCTGTTTCAAATATATGGTAGTGTTAGAGAGCCAATATATTAAGTACTAGCATCCGCCCGCGGTTTCGCCCGCGTGGACTATGGGTTATCGAGCGATTAAAGATACGTGCTCAGTAGTGGTATGTTATATAGCTTAAACCTTGCACTTCCATACTATGTCCAATAATTTTACAGGAAAGTTAAACTGACTATTTACTTGACGCAGACCCCGCATCAAATCTGTGTACCAAATGTTGTCAATCTGTACAGTAGGAACATACATTAAAAAATACCTAAACATTCAAATACCTTTAATAAAACAACACCTTTATTATAGTGCGAATATGCGTAAAATAAATACATCGGGAGTACCTACTTCAGGACCCGGCTAGTAAAATAAATAAAAAAAGTGAGTATATTGATGAAACGAATGTATAGAAGTTGTTTTAGGTATCCAGAATTTCAGGTTTATATTACAATATTGCTGATGTCGTTGCCTGGCTATGTTTTTATAGGTTTTAACAAATGATTACTGGAGTTGGATGAAAAGAAAACTCGAAATTATAATAAGAAGAAAATACGCTCACGGTCATGATCACGATTTATTGCTATAAGTATATTTTTCCTCTTTTAATAGACTAGCTATAACCCTTTATCCGCCAAATTTGCTTAAAATATAGGAATGTACGAATAAATATTATCATGTCACGATCTTAAACAGGCTAATATAGGAGGACAATACTCCGCGAAATAGATCAATATAAGCTATGTATTCTAACTAATATTTTTGTTCAGTAGAATTATTAATGTTATAATGTTAGTTAGATTAATCTATTACTTGTCAGATACAGTTTATAGATTGTTGTTAGTATATAATGGTGTAGGGTGACACTCTCCGGTGTCAAGAGCGTTTACGCTGCCTTCATTATACACGAAACAATTTGGTGAGATCATGTGACCTACGGATACCTTTACTGTTATCTACCGATTATTGATTTTTATGTGATTACATTTTGAATTTCGAATGGTAAACAAGTTGACGGCCCACTTGATGGTAAGGTGACGTTGGCGTATGTATATGAACTTAGTAGTCATCATGTGACACCTGTGCGACTACTCATTCTTATTATTTCACAGGACTAAGATGGCATGAATTGTTTAACTGTGAAATAATGTACAATAGATATTATTTTAAACATGTATTTTAAAATAGGTATAGGACATGCTGTATTTTGTGATAAATTAATGCTGCTTAAGTACAATGTTATGTTCATAGGCGAATTATACCACTTTTCTTCAGGAGAACCGCCTGTTTATTTGACATTCTGCTTTAATAAAATAGTCACGTAAAGTTCGAAAGAAATAAATTAGACAAATATACAGTACCTACACAGAATTAACGAAATAAGAAATAATTTAAAACACCTAATAAAATTATATTAATTATTAAAATTACAGCATATACCATATGAACATGACCCCGGGTTTTATTGGCATATTGGTGTCACGACATGAAATTAGATACTTCCTACTAAAAAATAACAGTTATAGAACATAAATAAAAAATTAAGACCCAGGACAAATTACAATATTTATATTATATTTAAAGACTAATTCGGTGAATGGCATTTAGCACAGCATTCGGAGTGGTAACACTAATACAGTATTAAACACCAACATAATTGTCATATTTCTATATTAGTCCATATATTATATATTCATCGAACTAATACCAAGTATTATTACATAAGTAACCATTTGTAGAAATGGCATTATATCACAAAACTCACATTTAGTTATGGACTTTTTAGCTTCACCTACAAATAATTACATAAAACAAACCCTAGTAAAAACGAAATGGTGATGATTATAGATTAGCAAATCCACTTACCTATATATTAGAAATATAAAATAGAAACTTAAATCGATCTTCAATGTTATGACATCAACTATAATTATAATTTTGAAACAAACTCTCTACACCACCCACGCAATAAAATCCATCCAGTTGATCTCTACTTATAAACGTATTTTGACAGACAGACACTGCTTTTAAACAAAGTATGTTTTGAAGAAAATATTTATGAATATACAGAATATAATTAATATCTACTAATATATATTCTTCATTTTAATATACATAATTTCTAACAATTTTAAGCTTTGATTTAACGTATAATTACTGAGAAATACAAACAAGAAATTAAATATTGCTTTTATACTATACTAGCTGTGCCTGCGGTTTCACCCGTATGAAATTTATAGCCTATATATGTGATTCTGATGTATAAGCTATATTACTGTAAAGTTTCATTAAAATTCGTTCAGTAGTTTTTGCGTGAAACAGTAAAAAGGATCTCCATCCATACCCACAAATTTTCGCGTTTATAATATTAATAAGATTACAAAGTAATTCAGATATTGTTTAGAGTAACTAACTTTGTTGCATTTTTAACAACATTTAAGAAATATCAGTATCCATTATGATAGAATAACAGGTATGTTATACTCATTCAGCAGAATAGAGTTATATATGCCTATAATTATGTTATTTTCGGATCGAGTTACATTTTCCTGTAACTCCACTAAATCTAGTTATATAGTTGGCCAGGAATTCCGTAACAATGCCACGTCATTGTGCTTGAAATATAACTCCCTTGATACGTTCGTTACTCAGTTCGGCGTGATGTTCTTAATTCAAACGTAACAGGTCGGTAAAGTTGTCAGAATCACGGGTAGGTATAATAGAATTACAAATTATTTTAAGTGGTTAATGGCTTTTACATCACCATTGGAATATCTAATTCAATATTATATTTATATTAATTTTCGATTAATAAATTTAAGTGTTTTGTATTACAAAAATGTTGTTGGAACAATAACATTATTTTATTCTTTAAAGGTATGT